CCTCCGGCTTCGATTACAACACAACCAACTAACCCTACTTTGACACGAAATAGAAATATCACATAAATATATTCGAATTTCGGAACCTTTCATATGAACATGAGAGCGATGATAAACAGAAACTTATTTATACACTTTAATGATGATTACGCTTAACTTATTTACACTTTAATGATGATTACGCTTAACTTATTTACACTTTAATGGTGACTTGACTTGTGACTTGTTCTACTGAGTGTTATTTGAATAAAGCCTGGTACCCACATGCGGCAACGGACGACGGAAATCGTCGACGGAAACGGTTGCCGTTCCGTCGTCTTTCCGTGTCTCGTGTACTCACATGCGGAAATTCCCCTACAATTGAAACGCGCCATCTGCCAGCCGTAAATATAAACAAGCTACTACAGTAGGTAGGCCACGTGCCAGTAGTCGAAAATGGCGTCTACCGGGATTGCTTTGTTATATCAATTAAACTTTTTAAGTTTGCCTTCGATCTTATCGCAAATAAAAAAACCTGAAAAACGAATAATTTGGATAGGGAAAATATTCTAAATCGTCGAAAGTTAGGAATATCGAATACTTTCGTCGCCGAATTACGCTTATTCCATTCCCAATACTTTACGCAGTAAGTCTATTTGACATTAATATTTAAATCGGATAGTAATACAGCGTATAAATGAAATATATTAGCGTATTAGTGTATAAATAAAGCTTTTTAGCTTGCCGACCGCCATAGTTTGAACGCTATCATCCCACGTGATCTTTATGACGACATCGCTAAACGGTCCTCCTATTGGTCTAATTTTTGCCGTGCCGCTTTCCGTCGCGGCAAAAGTTGAAAATTTTCAACTTCGTATTCCGTCGACGTCGACGGCAAAAGTGACGTCATTTTGCCGTTCCGTCGACCGTTTCCGTCGTCCGTTGCCGCATGTGGATACCAGGCTTAAACCTCTAGGAATCTCATCCTTAGGATACATATTTACAATTATAGAAAGAACACTGACTTCCAAAATAACAAATATCGAAACATTTGTAAGTTGATAAATAATCAAATACTGTATATAGAAAGAGATAACGTTGATAAAGAATTTGAAAACTAATAGATAATCTGTTCAGTTTTAATTGCATCTTGATAGATTTGATGTTACGAAACGTTGAGTTATAACGGAAATAAACCATATAATATTTGTTGTAGAATATAAAAAATTTATTTTTAAGATTATTGGGATTATTTTTTGGTGATAAAAGAATCGAAATTTTGAATACTTTTTTCTGAGAATTCCAAAATTTGCTTAATTGTAAGCAAAAATGAGTACAACCTCTATTTTAATATTACATCTATGAGCAAAATTGTCCAATTTAAATGATCACGAAACAAATATTTAAGTGCTTTTTCTGTTTTATTTAATTAAAAAAAAAAAAGAAAGAAAAGCAAAATTAGATAATGTTATAAAATATTTTGTGAGTTATCAGAAAGTTAACTTCTTTGTTTAATTGTATAAATTCTTCACGTTAAACATATTATTAAATTAGATAAAATTTCCCTAAAATTTAAAAGTTAATGGAATGTTTACCTTTTTGTTTTATTAGATTTATTCCGGTTATTTGGGATTTATCTGTTGAATAAGAGATACACTATAAGAGAATATATTGTATATTCAGTTAGAGGTGACCCTTGGAAGTTCAACTGTATATACTATATATTAATACAAACATAAGAAGTATAACCTCTCTTACTTCTCTTATAAGAAAGGTTCCTCTTATAAGAGAAGTAAGAAGCATGTATATATACCGTATACAAACAAGAGCCACCTCTTATTAGCGGTTACTTTCTTCAGGAACGTTTCTTTTTGTAATGCATACAAAATAACTTCCAAATAACGACATTTTTAAATGTTCCCGTCAGTGGTCGTTGTTCAGACGTTTGATTGTATTTAAAAACTAATATTATCTCTAACTAAATGCTCCAGATTGTAATGAAAAACGTACTTAACAAATACGCTACACTAAATGCTAAATTTTAAAATATAAAATTTTACAATTTTATTAAAACTGAAAACATTTTGTTGACATTCTATTCAGTTTTACTTTTAATCGTGTTTAAATGATAAAATATAAAATTTTACTGTCTGAAATTTAGGGCTATATTAAAGATGGCAGATTTATTTAAATATTAAAATATTTAAATAAAAGAATTAAATCGTATAATTAAAAATGATATAAAATAATAATCGATTTGACAATTCTTACTATAAAAATAGTTTTTTTCTCGATATTTTAATGGATTTTTATCCAAAATGTCATCAAAATGAATTGAAGGACAAGAACGTGTTAACTCGATTCCTTTGTTCAATTTCTACGACAGAGCAGATATAATTTATAGACTCGTGACCCATAATTTCTTGTAGACTAATCTATCACCTTTTAATATCATTAATAGCATGTGATCTGTCCTAAAATAGAGAGCAAATTCGGAACTTTAGGGTGATTTTCTCAGAAACTTGAAAAAATAGTTAATATGTTTACTTCAAGGTCTTCAATTATTGTTAGGCTGCTATATGTTACTTTAATCTGAAAATTCTTTCATTTAAATCATTATTGCAAAATGAAAATTTCTACACATAATATAAAATACTGTAATTAATATAATTATAGTAATTTAAACCTAAAAGTTCAAAGAATAAAGACGATGTAAAATAGAAAGACTTTCAATTTTATGTTGTCACTATTCCTGATTTGATTCCTGTTGATTTTATCCTCGAAAAACAGAAAATATATGAATTATTTTACGTAAAGAACATCATTAATGTTTATTTTTTACAATTTTTTATTAAAAAAACAATAATGAGACTATTAAAAATGATTAGATGATTTATGAAGCGAACACTACTATTNGAATCTCGTCGGTCGAATCAAGGTCAAAGATGTCGTTGGCCCGCCTGGACGGCACGACGAATACGGGACGATCGTTTCGTCCAATTCGAGAGGCGTGTCGTCTCACACAATTGTCAATTCGATCACTCCATCCACCCATCTCGGTTTTCCCTTTCCTACTTTCCTCCATTTTTATCTCACGTAACACTATTATCTGCAATGGAAAAATCATCATCCCCGTCCGAACGAGACTGTTGAATTCTTAATTATAAAGACGGATGAGGACGATTCTCATTCGTTCCTGTCATCCCGGATTTGATTCCTGTTGATTTTATCCTCGAAAAACAGAAAATATATGAATTATTTTACGTAAAGAACATCATTAATGTTTATTTTTTACAATTTTTTATTAAAAAAACAATAATGAGACTATTAAAAATGATTAGATGATTTATGAAGCGAACACTACTATTAGTCAAATTCTTCATTATTATTTAATATCTGTTGGTTTATTCATGATATTTTGGTTAATGTACATTCGAATTATTTTTAAATTAAGCATACTTTATAGAAAAACTTATATAAAAAGAATTTGATAAATATAAAGGAGACTGTGACAAAATTTTCTTCTGATCCCTACACTGTTTTTACTGAAAGAGAAGGTTACTTAAATGAATTACTAAACTGAATTTCTATTAATTTGTGATTTTTTTAAATTGCATTATGCTTATCAACTTGATTTTCTGACACTTTTCTTATTATTTATCCACGGTACTTTTCTGCAAACTGAAACATATTCGAAGATTATTTTTAAATCTAGTATAAACACGACAACCAAAGTTATGTCAATGACGTTTAACCGGATAAATCACGGTCGTAATAGTGGACAAGATCAATAAGTTAATTTTCATTGTGATTTATATACAGTATATGAAATATTTATTATAATTTAATTTTTATATTTATAGTTTGTAACAATTTTACGCTAAAAGATGGCGCCACTGATTTATACGGAGACATTACGCGGATTTTTTCCTAGTCTTCTTCCATTGACTTTTTTTTTTTCTTTCTTTCTTTCTTTTTTTAAATAGATTTATTATCTAAGAAGAGACGAAGCGTGTCAAACTACTCTATAGGTCAACTTACGAAACAGAAACAATTACATCTTTACATCAGATGTAAATAAAATGACGAATGGTTATTGACGTTTCATCTTCGTTGAACCGAGAGTGATATCAAATATAAACAAATAGAAATAGTAATAATTAAAGAAAAAAAATGGAGCTGTATCGAAGAAAAGAACTTTGAGATTTCTGTTTAAGGTATAAAAATTAAAGATATCATTTAAGAAGCTTGTGTGGAGCCATCAGATTTATGTTTGAAACCAGACAATACTTTATAATCTGGTTTCGCAACGCTTTCCGAACGACTGTAAACGCGAACGGCATTCGTGAACATTTCGAGTTGAGATATGAGTACGAAATGAAGGGCTTCAGATTTCTGTTTTGATTTATGCAAGAATCTAAGCAACCCACTCATCGANAAAAAAAAAAAAAAAAAAAAACAAATTTAGCTTCAAAATATCGCAATATAAACTATAGAAATCATCATATTTAGCTTATTTATATATAGGATCATTGCTTTTAATGAGCCTTCTCCAGACTGTTCACGCCATTCTTTCTTTAGTTTCTTTTCTCTGGTATCTTCTATTACATCCCTCATTATTTCATGGGCTTTCCTCGCTAATCAAGCAAATAAGTACGAAATATTTATAACGTCGAGAATAAAATTAGCATGTAAATATACTATTAATTCTGATAGGAAATTTTTCATTTTTCGTAGATTTAATAAGATATTAATCACTATAATGGCGGTAACATCATAAAAAATTTGAAATATTATATTTTCGGAATAAATTTTAATTATTTTCTGATGTCTTTCGTGGTTTCTACTTTTTATAGAATAAATGCAATTTATAACAAATTTCTTTCTCTATTATTGACATTGAAAATATCGTTCCAATTAATTTCTTTTGATTATATTAAACAATTCGCAATAAATAAAAGAATTTTACATTATTACTTTGTTTATTGAGTTTTTTTTTTTAAGTTTTTGGCAAATTTTATAAATTTTTTGCCACAGAATTTTGAAGTTTTAAGATAGATTTAGGATCTCTCATAACAGATGAGGTTAGAATCAAGCGAAGATAATCCGATGTTTTTACATCAAATTTAAAAAATATTGAATTAAACTTTAATTGTTTTAATATTAATAAATCTTTGTATTTTTAAATATTATTAACGGAATATTTTATTAAAATATTTTTGTATTTTTAAACAGAATTTAATTTGTCATTTTCTCCAACTAATTCGAAGTTTTCGAAATTTTCTTATATTGGTATTAATTTTTTATTCTTATATTCGTTATTAATATCATTTTAAATTAAAAAATCTGTATTATTTCAATATATTATTAAATAAAACAAAATATATATAATCTTTGTATTAAAGTTATGCAGCATTTATATCTAAGTTAAACAAGATTAAGTATATCATACTTATTTAGATATAAATGCTGTATAATGTAATAAGATAGTCTATAAGATGTAANGTTCATTGCAGATGTAAATTTAACAAATATGAAATAAAATACTAAAAAAAATTATTTTTAATGTTTTTCAATGAAAACATTGTGAAAATATTAATTTATTTTTACGTCTCGTTAAAAATATTACAGTATTAACGATTGGGTCGGGATCGATTTAATATTCTCCCAACTTAATTATTAAATTTCGCAAATATCTATTATTAAGAACATTAAAATTCATTTGATAATAATACACCTTGGGACAACTTTTGTATCCTCTCTAACTACACCCTTATCAATCTTACGATCTAATTTCCGATAAAACTCCCATCAATTAAAGCATTTAAATTTACAATTCGAGTGGCTTTTTTAAAAATGAAGAAGATATATAGCCCTAAACACTTATAAATATGATTAATAGTAACAAGAATTTGGAATCAAATTAGTCTTTACGGTTAAAGCTACGTAAATAGGCTATGCAAAGAAGGCAGATACTGAAGAATTGTTTTAATTTTCTTGCCAGACTGTTGTGTATCATATTCTAAAAGACATTTTTATCAGTATTATATAAAGAAAATGTAAATTGCTGTAAATTTAAATCAATAAAAACCATTTGAAAATTTAAGTTGCAATTTAACAGTTATATTTACATAAATTTTTGTATATTCTGTCTTATCACGAGTTCAATTTAACATTATAACTGGCATTTATTCTGGATTAAATGCTTTTCTTGGAACACGACTATCAAGCAATAATCAAAGCTAAAAGTCACGTAAGCTTTACAGTTGCTTTATTTTTTATTTATTTTCTGTGAAATCTTTAATTTAAGAATGTATTTACAATAGAGATTTAAACCAAGTATTTCTATTCAAAAATAAATTTTCTGCGTAATCGTGATTCTCGAATCTAATACATAATTAGTAAGGTTTTTTTCCGACGATTTTACACAAGACTTCCTATGACGTCAAAAGTCTTGGAGTATAATTTGGTAAACATCCGCATGAATGACGGAGAAACAGAGTTTTCTCCTGTCAGGTTTCCCCGAAGGACCCTCAAGATTCCTCTTCTGAACCTCACGCACTCTCTAGAGAGATTTCTTTCGAATTATCTGTCGAACAGGGTCAAGTCGACGAGGCCTCCTGCCCCTCTCCTAATCTCACACTCTTTTTTATTTTATTCGATTCCCCCGCTTCTCTCGATTCTTGGCTGTGGCGACAAATCTCTTAATTGAATCTCGTCGGTCGAATCAAGGTCAAAGATGTCGTTGGCCCGCCTGGACGGCACGACGAATACGGGACGATCGTTTCGTCCAATTCGAGAGGCGTGTCGTCTCACACAATTGTCAATTCGATCACTCCATCCACCCATCTCGGTTTTCCCTTTCCTACTTTCCTCCATTTTTATCTCACGTAACACTATTATCTGCAATGGAAAAATCATCATCCCCGTCCGAACGAGACTGTTGAATTCTTAATTATAAAGACGGATGAGGACGATTCTCATTCGTTCCTGTCTACATGTGTTATGTTGAAGGTCAGGGCGAAGGACGAGACGTCCTCTATTCGGCTACGATTTTCAGAGATGTTTTTATGACAAAATCTGTTTTCTCATCACAGCCCCATCAACCTTGATATAGCTTCTCCCACTGAATAAATATGTAAAAGAAGAACGAAACGTCGTTCCTAGTGAAATGAAAGGTCTAAATTGCCCCTCTACGTCTTATCGGAGGAGAATCGGGTCGATTCATCCGGGGCATCTTTTCTCCGATAAGAAGAAAAGAGGTGATATATGGGATAATAGAAGGTCAAATGTGCTCGATTGACAGCGCTCAAGGACAGAGATGAACGAACTGTTAGTTGAGAACATATTCATTGTTTGTCGAGATCTTTCAGCACTCCAGTTTGCTTCATTTGGAGAATGCTCGAGTTTTATCTTGATTCGAACTGTAATCCACTTTAATTTTTCGTTTTCAAAAAGTTTCTTTTAAACTACAATAAAAGTTTATAGTTTTACCTGTTTCGTGGAAACGTGGATTGCATTTTTTTCATTTATGTTTCATTTCGTTTGTTTATTTTCTGTTGGCCTTTACTAGTGAGGTGCAGTTATTGCACAATTATTTACGATGCGTTATCGCCGGGACTTTGAACTTGGATTCTTTATTCGACTGTCAAGAATGTTAGTTTTATTAAAAGATGAGAAAGAAAATAAACCTTGTAAGTTTTTTTTTCTTGATCGAACGATTTGCTAAACATAAACAAGCCGAGATAACCGGCGCTTTGGGTTAAGCTTAGGTTAAATCCGATTCATTTATCATTACACTTCGTTCACATTAATCCCGATTCTTACTTCTTACCGGTAAAAGAATAGAAAATCGTTCAATTTATACGAATATTTCGCTTTCTGCTACCAAATTTACCTTCGTTTTTTAATATCAATCATACTTTCAACGAGTAAACATCATTAGCGAAATATCCAGATCTAAATCAGATTATTCGTATAAATAAATAAATTTGTTTAATAAATATTGCTACAACTGTTTGAAATCGTAAAAATCGCTAAAACCAAACCATAAAGTATAATTTTTTTTCAATTATTTCTCCGTTTTAAACGTATCAAAACATTAAATAATAGTTTTATACGAAGAGAAATATGCAAAGAAAAATGATCGACTCGTATTATTGGCAAAAAATAATTGTTTATCGTTCGAATTTTCAAGTTTATAAATATTCATATGAAAAAATAAATCTAGATTGACCACTACAACTTCTTTTAATTACTTTGAAAATCGAAATGACTGTAATACTAACCTAATCATAATTCTAGTTGTCGACCGTCGACTATTTTTTAAAAAACGCAAAAAAATTATCAAAATACGTAAACAAAATACCTTTCGTCGTCGATTTCATCCATTAATTATATAAAAGAACCTGAAATTTTAAAAGAATAAATTAATGAAACGTATAATTCTGCATAACTTACATAAATATACATCTACAAAGTATACTGTACTGTACATCTTAAAATTGACAAATAAAAGAATGAAAAAAAAACACATAAATATATATTATTATATTAATAAAATAATGATTAAAATGATTTTAAAACACGCGATATGTATTTAAAGTGAATTTCAAACTGGATTAATATTGTTTTCGGAAACAGACTTGCGAGTATGCAATGAACTGTTCAGACTATATACCTTATACACGTATAAGTATATGCTATAAATATCTTTCACTCGGTATAAAGGATATAAAAAATGAAAATCATATATTTATTAACAAAATATTTTGATTAAATGGCATCTTAATAAGATAATAATCTTATTAAAATGATAATTGAAATATTACGAGCCGCATTGATAATACACAAAATAGTATCTTCTCCATTTGAAATTCAACTTTTAAAATGCAATATAATAATAAAATCGTTTAAATTTATTATTATATCGACGTATAGAAAAAAGGACAAAGTCTTCCTATCTCGAATTACAAGTTAATCAAATGATGTGAAATACATTCCGATGAGAATCGTTGTATTTTTTGTATAATATTAAGTTAAATTCGGTTAGAAAGATAAAGAAGAATCATTTATTAAAATTATTATTACATTATTTTATTATTTTAAATTTAATTTTTTTAATTATTACGTTTAAAATCCATAACGTGTTTTATCTTTTTATCTATAGAAGGAGATCAATCTGCAATAAACAATATCAATGACAGTCTATATTATTTGTGAAGTCTTGTGTAAACATTTTCTATACAGGCTTACAGTGCATCCATCTATCATATATCTGAGCATTCAAAGTATTTTTTGAAACTTGAACTCTCTCGTACGTGAAGATTTCCATAAAATTTATAAACGTTCCTCGTATTATTTGAATATTTTTGTGTCATTTAAGAGTTATTAATTCAAAAAATAAACAATGCTTGATATATTTAAAGTTCTCTATTTAATTAAGTATACAATTTCCAATAAATAATAGCTAATAGGATGAGAATTTAGAGACGTTGCAATCTGTTAAACCACTTTAAATAATCAAATAAAAATTTAAAATTATGTAGAATTCGTATTAAAGTATAATTTTTTTACCTTTTAAAATTTATTTTCTTAATAAATAAAATAAAAATTATACTACGAATTGTTTTATAAAGCATTTATTTAGAAGAGAATGTGTTATTAGTCGTTCTAAATATATTTAAATTCTATATATAACGGTAGAATACCGAAGCGGTTAATTCCTCTGCTTAAAGTTCTTCCGCTCTGGGATCTGGGTTCGAATCTCGGAAACATTCTTCAGTGTTTAATCCGAATTCGTTGGACCTTGTACTTCACTAACCGACATGGGCGAACCTGTGATTGACACGAAATAAAGGTTTTATAGTGCCTATAGGGTGGAAAATACCCGACTTGTTGCCGAGGAGGAGGGGGAGATTTTCCTTAAAAAGAGTGTAATAAAAAAAAAAGAATTCCAAAACAATTCAGTTTTAATATGAGATTATTTTGTTTGTAATGTAAGAAAAGGGAGACGTTTAAAATTCCATATTTTCACAGAATTAAGAGTAAACTTTTTATCGTTACTATAAATTATAGTCGTGTTAATGAGGACATTTTCTACTTATTTTAGCTTATTTTCCATAGAAAACCTATATATATATAATGTATAAAAGCGCATTGCCTAATTTAAAGAGACGAAAAATAAAATGCACGCTTTGCATATTTTAAAGTAAAATATAACAATTATTTCTTGGAAAAATTTATCTAATCTTACAAAATTAAAATGTTATATAATCAGATAAATGAAATAACTATATTTTTATAAATAGTTAAGTGTATAATTTATTGTATAGAGATTACTTGAAATTTAGAGTTTAGTAGATAAACGTTTAAATTACGGAATTTCGAAAATATATGTTCAAAGGAAAAAAACATTTAATAATTTTTCTGTCGAATGATGTTCATTTGAATATTATTAGAAAGAACAGAAATATTTTTTAGAAGTGAGTCGAGAAAATTTACTTTTACGGCGTTTTTAATGTAGTTTTACTTAATCGTATTCGCAATATTGCCGTATTTCATTGAAAAGACAAGCGATAATATTATTTATAATGAAAAAAAATCAAAATAACACTTTAATTCAATTATAAGAATTAAATTTAATGGTGGTTCAATGGCAAAATTGAACAATTGGTCATTCAAATTTCAAGTTGTAATAGTCGTTTAAGTTCCATTTTATTTTAATGATTCAAATCGCGAAAGACAAAAATTAAAATGATCATATTTTCTCAATTTGAAAGCCGGCTGACCGGTAGAAACGGTCGATTTAAAAAAAAAAATCAAGGTCATAACAACTGAATTCTGTAATTCCTCTCTTTCTTGCTCAACGTTCGTTTTGAATTACGACTCTGCAAGCGGAATTTTGATTTTTCTTCGAAACAACTTTTATTTAATCTTGTAGAACGGGCGAAATATTTCATATACGACAACCCGAACGCCCTTTTTAGGTCATAATTTTAATGGCGACGAGACTGCGAGCCAAGCAATGCAATGTTGAAACATAGGAAAAAAAACTTCAGAAAACTAAAATTACAGTCAGAAACGATCTTTATATTTCCTTATATAAATGTACAGAAATATTTTAACATGTAATAAATTCTTCCAAATATTGAATTGACACAATACATAACTTTTTACATCAAATTTAAGAATAAAAAGATTTTTTTTTTTTAAAAACTCATAAATTAATATCCATTGTTTTAACTACAAAGGACACACCTATTAAGACTACGAATTATTGAGTTGAGGTATTGAGACGAGATCAACAAAACGATTTCTTGGTCTTAAAAAAAACGGTCTTCAATGGAAGAAGAGGTGGGTCGGGAACGGTCAAGTTTCGATTCTTCAGTTTCACCTGATTTGATTTTCGGTAATGGTCGACAATGTGGTGAGAATCTTCGAAAAATGACTTTCATCCGTAAAAAACTGGAAGGAGCCGATGGATGGGCTCTCTTTTTTTATCACAGGTTTCGGATAGAAATATTAACGGGTATATTGCATATTTAATACTGCAGCCATCTTGGGTCTGAGATGGAAAAGAGTCCCAACTTTAATACCAATATAAAAAACAAGGAGATAATTATTTTCCTAAATTTGCTGGAGTAAATGCATTTTTTTTTTCCAGCCCGAATTATCGAATCCGTGGCTTTCTTCTCGACATTAAATTCTCCTGAGTAACTAAAAATCTCTGGCAGGATCATCTTTACCAGCTTCTTCACCTCGTCGTGTTACGACTGGGCGTGCGTCATTGCTTCTTTTAGTTATTCTGTCAATACTCCAATTATCTTCACGATTACGTTCTGTCTTCGGCTTGAAGTGTAATTGGTTCATCCGGGGTAGTGATCATTCTCATGTGAATATCTACGTCTCTTTTATTGGCCGGTTTCAATTTGAATTGCTGAATAGTCTAAAATAAACGAAACGAATTAGACGAAAAAAAATAAACATATTTTTTTTTTTTTTGTAGAAATTTAATTGTTTCTACATATTTACCCTGGCAATGAGAAACTGCATTTTCATTTCGGCTACTCTTCTTCCAATGCACGATCTCGAACCAATTCCGAACGGGAGACACGCGTGCGTATTGACAACATCTTGTTGCTCTTGACGAATCCATCTTTCTGGCATGAATTTATTGGGATTTTCGAATTGTTTTTCGTCCCGTCCAGTAGTATAAAGAGACATGAGAATCAATTTCTGTAATTTAAAGATTTTTATGAAGTTTTACGAGCATTTCGAAATTAACTAGTTCTATTTCTAATAAAATTTCAAATTACCCCAGCTGGAATTTCATATCCTCCAAGCACCAAATCGTGAGAAAGAACGCGAGTTAAGTAAGGGGCAACTGGATACAACCTAGTAGAAAAGAATCGATATTATATTTTTAATATATAAGAAATTAAATACGAGATTTTATGCCATTTGCCATCTATACCTGAGTGCCTCTTTGATGACTCCTTTTACGTAAGGAAGTTGAGGTAGGTGCTTTTCGTTGATCGTTTCTCCCGGTTCTATTACTTTTTGGATATCTTGAAAGAGTCTTTCTTGGCATTCTGGATTTTTTGCCAACAAATATAAAGCCCATTGAGTGGCGTGCGATGTCTAAAGATAAAATTAAACTATTAATTAAAGTTTACGGATACGAAACGAAATTAAAAATGCATAATATTTTTTTTTATTTACCGTATCTGCAGCAGCCAAAAATAGATCGATGATGATTCGTACGATTTCATCTTCCTTGATATCTTCCTGTAATAGAAGCTGACTTAAAACTCCGTCTACCGTCTGGCCCGATCCGGCTTTGGCCACGATTTCGGCCACGTTTTCTTCCACGTAATCCTTAGCTGAAAGATTTCGAAAGTCAAGCAAACTCTACTACATAATAACGTTATGAAGAAACTTTTCAAACTTCGATTACTCACCCAGATATAATGCTTTATCCGCAGCTCGAACGAATCTCCTCCAAACTGGTAATTTAAGCATGTAGGCCAAACGGGGAGGAATCATGGTCATTTTTGCCGATTCTCTAAAAATCTGTTGCACGCAATGGACAAATTCGTGCATTCCGTCTTTGCGATGATCGCTATCGACGCAGCCCAATCTTCGGCCAAAAATCATCGTTCCGAGAGCTGAAAAATTGGACAGACGTTAAGATAATTTGCCCCTGAAAATGACTATTCTTTGTGATTGTCGGTTGTTAAGAGGAGAAGCCCAACAGCATCGACTCGTATTGGATTCGAAAAATGAGAAAATTAAAAATAAAAAAATTATTTTTCCATAAAATTAAACTGATTAAACGGTTAGATAAATACAGAAGAATATTTCAAAGTATTTGATAGAGAAAAATTTAAATAAATAAAATAAGTTAAAAATTTAAGAAAGTTTTCTTCTTAACCGTTTTATGCGTGAAATTTTTCTTTTGTCTGAAGGAATTTATAGAAAAATATTGATATTTACTTACATTCCACCGACCAGTTGTAAAGTTCCTTTTCTAAATCCTGAACAACTTTGTTCTCGTCCCGTATAAAGCGCCATCTATTGAGCAAATCCGTAACTACGCTGTTGAAAACATCGGCGTATTCGGCTACTGTTTTTTGACGCAAGAACACCTTGTTCAGACTTCTTCTTCTTTGATTCCACAATGGGCCGTCCCTAAACAAATATATATTATATATATATAAATATTCCATTCGTTATCGTACGGTCACTACGAAATAAGTTAAAAATCGAATATAGGTGATAATCTTTGAGGTCTCGACCCCGTGATTTTGCAAAGACAGAAATGTCCAAAGTTTGCCATAAAGAAACTTTAGACATTCCCGCGTTAATCACAAGGTTACTCACGTGATTCGTTCAAATATCAAGGTCGGGGACTCCCGCCCGCGTATCGAGAAGCATTTTGCTTCGTAGTTGTTGCTGGGAGTAAGTTAAGCGAGAGTTCCTCCATCCGCTCTCCACGCGCTTGCCATCCGGATGTTCATCTTCGTTTCTATCCCCAAACCGTGTTAAATTCGACAGGGAAAGCATAAATTTCGATATAAAAGATAAATTTACTTACATGAAGAAGAGCCCTCTCTGCTTGCCCGTCTTTTTGTTATAGAGAGTCCAGGGTTCGGGTACCATGTGCATGGGATATTTGCCTTCGTTCTGATAGACCCGTTGGATCAACTGTCCGTCGGCCACGAACACGGCCTCGACCGAGCCTAGAGTCTCTCGATAGATGGGTCCGAATTGGCGATGCCGCTTGTCGCTGTACTCGTGAATTTTCGGCGCGCCTCCGTTGGCCAGAACATCCAAAAGTGTGCCCACCAAAAACCGCGAACGAGGAGTCGGTATCTGCTGGTAGGATTTGACCGGCTGTGGCTGACTCCTGGCCGGCTGATGGAATGGACAGGCGGATTCGCCTTCGGTAGGTAGCAGTTGGTGGTACAGGCAAGTAGCATGGCGGCCGATCTGACGGCGCAGATCTGTCTGACGGGCGACCGCAAAACGACCGACGGGCCCGCATACAGCAACCGCAGCCATCATTCGATGTCGACCCCGCTCTATGACGTTGCAGAAGAAGCGGCGTTGTCGCTTCTTATATACGGGACGACGTGGCTTGAGGGTATGCCTCTCCGTTGGAAGAGGGAGGTATTACTTCCTTTTGCCGTACGACCGGCCGGGTTCCAATAACATGTAACGGATGAACATTTTTCACGTTTTATTGTTATAATTATTTCGGCGCACGTGATTGGCAAACGGTATAGAAACGTCACCGCCACATGTCACGTGTCGTAGTCCGGGGTCGGGCTATGTGTTATCATTTTTTGGAACTTGATAGTTGTCTCGGTTAGTAGAATTACGAAACGATCCGATCCGGGTTTGAATTACTTCAACAATTCTTTTAAACAATAAATAAATAAACACGAGACTTCTTTCTTTCATTTTACAAAAAATAATACTTATCGTGTCGATTAATTAGGTTATTTTCGGTAAATCGTCTCGTCTCGTTAGGCTAAAACGTCTGTTTAACCGATTCGCTTCTTCGTCTCTACTAAACCGTAAACGTAAAATGTTCCGCAGTTTTCGAAATGCACAAACCGGAGTCCTTCGCTTTTCGTAGACCTTCCGGTATTCCACGTCGAATTTTCTTTTAATTTTGGCCGATCGACTAGATTAGAGGAGGTGATGTCTCCACCCGTGTTTATTTATATCGTTACATCGGGACGATAACCCGATTAAATTTATGCTCTGTGTTTCGACGTGACTAGTGTATTGACGTCATCACGTTTTACATAGATAGTAAATCACGAAAACTTTCTTTGCAGGTAGGTTAAATGTCGAATTCATCTAACGTTAACAGGAAAATTGCTTCATTCTTATAATACATAACGAAATTGCCTTTGACAGAAGAATTCATATTAAGTTTTTATAAACCGTTTTTCTAACCGAGTAATAAATTGAATAAATTCTTCACACTTGAAATTTTAATACGTAATAACGATCGTTTGAAGCGGCGAATAATAAATATTGGAATTTTTCATCAGGAAGACAGACCGAGTGTATTTTCTCGAGCAGACTTTTGTATACAAACAAAGCATGTTTTTAGTTGGAGCCAGGCAACCTACAGCCAGTTTTATCTCTCCATCTGCAGGTGAAACCTGTCAACTCGTCTTCGGCTTTATGGCTCAGCGGGGTAATTCAGTAGTGCGACCCCGCAACCTTGACCGTGACACCAAAACCGGTACCTGACCTACTCCGAGGCCCTTCTTGATGTAATGGTTACATAATGGAGTCCCATAGCATGCGCTTTCCAAGTTCGGAAATCGAGGGGACTATTGCCTTCTACTGACAACAAACAAATCCCAACTTCTTCCATTCCTCGATTTCGGTTTCGATTTATTTTTTCTTTCTTCAATTCGTGAAATGATTTTCTTCGTTTACAAAACCGGCTTTTTGATTTTTCAAGCTATAAATTTTTAAAATTTAATTGAAAAATTATACAATTTTCAAAACAGATACGAAGTTTTACTTTAATAAAAATGTTTCTAACTTCGAAACGTAATTTATTTTAATAAAAATCCGGAAATACAGAAAGAAAAGGGAGTATTTTACGAATAATCTGTTGACGAAATTCGATAACCTCGACCTGAATTTTTTGGTGAATCTTGCAGGATTTAGTAATTTTGCGAAAAGGCGAGAAGATGCGTTCATTTTAATTCCAACCTTGTCCTAACTTCCAAAATGTTTACGAAATTTCGGCGATTCCAACTACTAACTCTCTATTAGATTACCTTGACCCCCAGTTTCTTTCAAATATAAGATTCGGTTGACAAAATAGGCTGGTTCGTTCAAGGAGATAGCTTTCTGAAGGTCAAAATCATATACAATATCCAAGATGCTGCGTCCATCAAATGTCTTTTCCCAGGGAGCCTTAAAACACTGGATCGAAGGACATGCGACAGACCACCCTCTGCTTGACCTCATTCGCCCGCAATCGACTCTATCTTCATCCGAAGATCTTTACAGCCATCTCTTTATCATAACAAAATTTCTGTCTTGTAACTTCGCGCTGCATTTTGAAATTTCCAACAAATTTAAATAACACGAAACTCGAAAGACAAATGTATTTTGGGCGCTGCAAACGAAAAGGAAGATTTCTACTTGTCTCGGCCGAAGTAGATTACCAACGAAATGGAAATCTTTAAATTGGGAAAACTGCATTCTGCATTGGGATAATGCGGTTTCCAGAAAGGAAGAACAAAGTATCAAAAGTATTTAAAATTCTTCGAATTATATTCATATTTTAATCAAATCTAGTCATTCTTCTTTTTTCGTTTAATGGCTTCTATATATAGCGCAAATCAGCATTAGATAGGCACGTGGTGTTCAAGGTGACATTTTCCAGAACCGAAACCGGTTGGTGTCGAGATATAAATATACTCGATATGAGGTATCGAACCTTCAGACAATGAAAACTCGTCCTCGGAAAAGTGATGGATCGGGATGTATCGAGCGGATGTCGAAATTCGTGACGTGACATTCAAATTAACCCGAGCCTTTAATTCCACACCAGTTCTTATGAATCACTAGCAACATTAATAGTATTTAAGCCGAACGTAATTGGTAGATAATCAGATTTAGGTTATTTAAAGAAAATTACGTGTCTACAAACGAGAGTTGTCATTCACAAACGCGACTAGACGAAAGAACATAAAACAAAAATTCTCGTTTTTATTCGCTCCGTTTACTCGTCAAATATAAATGCCTAAATTATGACTAGAATTTCTTTTATATTACTGCTTTACACTTAATTTTTCCCCAATTCAATGGAATCATCAAATAATAATTAACTATATAAGAAAGTTAAATAAATTTTGGATGCTTTTGATGATTTTGTTCGTGAAATGTTATCTAATAATCATGTAAAAGATCAACTGTGGTAAATTCTGAAGAAAGCTTAAGAAGTATTTTTTGTAAAATTTTAAAAATTAGAATAATAATAATAATAATTACTAGTAGACAACTTCCTATTGGCATCGAGAACATTTTACAATGATTATATTAATAAAAATAGTTTTGCCACTTCGAACATATATTTTAGATTATAATCGTGTTAAAATTTCATCAAAATCGGCTTTATCAATGTTTGATTTTCAGACATTTTTGTTTAGCTTTTAACCTATCTTTCATGTATTAACAGATTGCTAGATTAAAGATAAGAAAACATCTACACAGTAATTAATAATTTGTAATTTCTTATCCATTACTCGAATACGATTATATATAATCTCTGGGAAATATTTCTCAGGAAAATTTAGTTTCAAGTATAACAATGTTTCTATTAACATTCCTGTATAACTTTCGAATGATGAAATACATTTTGATAATTGATATAATAATTCGTTCACCGGAGAATCTAGTAAATATTAAAGATCAGAGTTTCCCAATTGTTTATTTTCCTACATAAATAAAATGTATCTACACATATTTTTATAGGAAAAACAATATTACAGTTAACCACATTATCATTCACTCACAGATCAAGTTTACGTATGTATATTTATAATTATATTCTTAATAAGTTAACTAAACTGTTAATGGTATATGCTTTATGTTTTCTTAAGCCCATTAGATTATAAGATTTAATTAATTTACGACATCTCCATAGATTCTTTAACATTCTAGGTTAAAATATATAGCGATAATGCTAACTTAAATCTCGTAATGCTTCCAAACAAAGTTAAAAAAATTATTACCAAAAAATATTACAAAATAATAACTATGAAATCTCGATTTTTAAAAAATATTGCATTATTATTTTTTTTTCTTCATATTTACTTTATTCGTCGTCATTGCGACCTTCGCAAGATCTGACATACTTGGGTTTAAACGAAAACAGTTTGAATTCCAAAATGACACATTTCAATGGCATGTATCAGAGAAAAATTCATCTTTAATATGATTTGAAAAATGATATCCGGAACGAAATATTCAAAACCGGATTTCTTAACATCATTTAGAATGATGATATATAATTGGAAACATTTTACGCGAAACTGACGAAAATTTTCAGTAATACATATAGTATTTTTAAATAGATTATAGATTTTTCTATAATATTGTCTTCACCAAATGAATTTTCGTAATGCTTAAAAGGATCTGTGATATAGTTTGTAAGAGACACCATTCAACAATATTTGTAAACGTCATTGAAAGCGAAAAAAATACGAGTCCGTTCTGATATATTGTCTATTGTAAGTGTGGGTCAAAGCCTTCGAAACAATCGATGGTATTTGAAATATTCTAATTACGAATGTTGATTCTGGACCTCTGACGAAATCGGAGCATTCATAATTGAAGTATTTTCTTCGTTCAGTGATTCGTAGTATAATACTTTCATACAGATTTTATCCATTCTAAACTACGACTCTATTAAACATAATGATGATTTATTTTTAAGAGTAAAAAGATAAAAAAGAACAGAGTTATTTTTATTTTTTATTTTTTATTTTTTTTGCTGATTACATTACAAAAAGCAAAATAATAGTTTTAAAATTAGAAAAGCTGATTTTTCAATATGTTTTTTTTTTTTTCGAAAATTTTGCACGAAAAAATGACTTTCCACATTTCTAAAGTTGTAAATGACGAATCATTTTAATCAGAAATCACTAATTAATTCAAATATATTTAATAAGAAACGAATAACTCAGATAATATAAAATTTAACAGTAAATTATAATACGGTAAGAAACAATAATTAATGATTAGAATTAAATTCGAATTTAATTCTAGTCATTAAATATAGCTTTATCATACTTGTATAGCATGACAGTTATATTTCTCATTAGCTCAAAGTGATGTATAATAATTATAATTAAATAAATTTTTTATTAATAAAGTAAATCATTACATTTGAAAATTTTATTTTTAATTAAAATTGCACGAGTTGTAAAATAATCCATGTATATTCCCCCCAATAAATCAGTAAATAGGCTAGTTGTTATATTAAATATATATATATAAAGCATTCATACTTTATTTTTGCTGTTAGTAAAAATTATGTACACATCTCATTTAAATGTAAAAATGATACATAAATGATTCAACGTGCTTG